TTTCAACTTATAAAATACTTGCAGTCATTATTTGGAATTGTCATTTACCGATAAATAAATTAAACACTTCTTGTCGATAATCTGAATTAAAACTTGTGAATCATTGAAATATTACTGTCCGATTAAAAAGAACTGCCACTCGAATACCCCGTCTAACAGTCATAGTTCACAAGGACTACACGTTAACAATATGAAACCGTTTCTGTCAATACTGGAAAAAGTGTTCTTCTTCTCATCATATATAGTATTCCTGAGTATCATAACGCGTTTTGAGGAATTGAACTCAATATAATCAAGTTTCCTTATAGTGAGAACTTCACCTAGAATGAGATAATATGCCATGATATATCTGCAAACGTGAAAATTGAGAGTTAAAAAAGGTTCTAAAAATTAATAGTCCAGTAATATAAAATAAAGACCTTTTTGAATTTAACGTTGGACTGGTAGGTAGGGAATTTTCCTCAAATTTAGTTTGTATCCGGGATGGCAAAAGTACTCAAAATAGCGAAGAATAGTTCGACATTTTGATTATTTATCATATATATATATGTTTCCATAAACGGTTATTGACTAATTATTACGAACTGTGAGTCAGTAATACTACGAACTGAGTCAGCGATGTGTCAAGGATCAAATACAAAATTACGAAAAAAATTTATCAATCAAAAATCAGCCACATATCATAATGTCACATGAGAATGCCAATCAAAATAATTCCTGATTGGCGAAACTAAGACTACGCAATATAAGATATGAATATTTCGGTTATGACTGTGCATTTACAAGGAAGCGACTCAGAGCTTGCAAAGCCAATATCTATTTTTTTGTTCAGAACTTTCGAGGACCTTATTAGATAAAGAACATAAACTTTTGGTAAGTTTTAATATTGCTAATTTATTTCTGACTTCGCGCGTATTCTATGCATAATTGATCATTTTATTCTATCCAGAATATTAACGTTGGGTAAATGAAATCAGATTAGAGTTAATATTGGGATATTATGTTAGTATAAATAGTTTAAATGAACGAAACACCAGCAGGCATTAGTATAGAGACTCTACTTCACTTTGTAAAACAAGTTTATGTATTACCGAATCTTGTAATTTATTTTTTTACATTAATAAATCAGAAATTCTGATAAGGATATTGCCTTATTTTTTATCTACGCTAACGAACTTTTGAATTATTCCATTTTATATAAAAATTATTATCAAACATGCAATCCATCGATTCATTGAGAGAATTAAATTCTAAGCTCTTAGCTGAGATTGCCGAGTTTAGGAAGGTAAATGTTGAGCTTAAGGACAAGAATGCTGAGATCCCTGATCTTAAAAGAAAGTTTGTTGAGATTGAGTCTGAGAAAGTTGAGCTTAAGGCCAGGATTGCTGAGCTTCTAAGACAGGCTGTGGAAGAGAGTAAGAGATGTGATGTTAAGAATGTTGAACTCAAGGTCAGAATCGAGGAACTAGAGAAAAATAAGACAGTTGCCACTAAATTCGAGTCTGAGAATGCTGAGTTTAGAGATAGAATCACAAAAGTGGAACAGAGGTAAATGCTAAATGATACTTCTTCTAATAACAGTTCACCTAACTTCAATTTGGTTGCAGATCAGTTATCTATGGCAACACATCATGAGAAACTGTTAGTGGATAAGAAAATGGATACTTTATTACCTGAAGAACTGATTCCAGAGGTGATTACAAAGCAATCGGTATCAGCTATTAATATATTCATTATGGATCAATGTGATCAGACGTCCTTAGAAGATAAGGAAATGGATGCTTTCTTGGATGAAATGCATAAGAAAAAGGTTAGTAATGAGATTAGGCAAAGAAAGCGGGAAAAAAAGCTTAGCCAATTGCATGTGCTTTTCCAAGACTTGTTCTCAACTACTTCTGAATCGTTTCAAGCAGACCTCTTAATGACTAACACTAAACATGTTCTCCCAGAACAGGTAGTTAAAGAATCGACTCTAAAGGAATCCTTCTTGATTCTTATGGAATCCTGAAAGATAGAAGAGAAACAGGTTAATTTATCAGAGATCAAGAAGGCGAAAATCCCCTATAATCAGAAAGTAGAATAAGATTTAATATGTGAATTACTTGAATTTATTAGATGTCATGATTCTACACCCTTACCAAATTCTATATCTAGCAAACATATTTCAGATATTCCAGTCAATGTCGATCTAACTCCAGGTTCCGTATCTCATTTAGCTCACTTATTTGACAAGGCTGAAAAAACTGGTTGGAAAGAAAAATTATGATGGTATTACTATAGTGAGGAATATGAAAAAAAGGTTGTAATTCTTAGTTCCAAAAATAATATTAGCGATCAAATGGCAAAAATGCAAATTTATAATGAAATAGAGCTATATCTCTTCAGTAAAAAGAGAGAGTATTTGCGTAAGATGATACAAAAGGCTAAAAACATCTATACTTTATTCAAAGGAATAGGAATAGATAAAATTAGAGTAGTTATATTTAGTGCTGATGTGATCTTTAAGCTAACTGATGCACAAATCCAAAACATAATAAATCTTTATACTAATGAATCTCAAAAATTGATCAGTGTGAACAATTGTTCACGCTCATGTGATCTACCAGATGAGTCTGAATCCAAAAAATGCTGAATGTCAGAATAAGCACCTTGGACTTCAAAAACCAATCAGACTAATGTACCAAAGATACAAGCCCAATCTAATCCAACTTATGATCATGCCTATTTTCGCAACAAAGCATTGGATCAATATCCTAATTTATATAGAAAATTTAGTAGTGAAAATTTTGATTATTATGGAATTACCGACGAGACTTCATGTTCATTATATAAGTTAGGTCATGATTATGAGGAAGGTATAGAAGGTAGATATGAAGCCAGATCCTATTTTATTAAATGTGAACAGCGTGAAATTGAGATAGTTGCATAGTCTCATTGCCTTTTCTTATACCATAGATACTTCGAAAGATGGCCTAACTATTTTCTTGAAAATATGATAAGAAATATTAGTAAGCTTTCTATAAGGGAATTTTAATCTTTTTTCAAATGAATATGAGAATAAAAGGGATTTAAATTGATTTGCGATCATATAAAACAGCAACATGACCAAGTCTGATAAAATATTAACTCCTGAATACCTGGATTGGCATGCTAAATTAACTGGGTTACCAAGTATTTTGAAAGATAAAATTCATTCCAAATTATACAAAAGATATAAAAAAGAAACTGAAAATGAGCCATGGCAATTATCAGAAGCTGTGATAAGTATATCAGAAAAACCTCAAGCCTCTGATTTTGAGCCTATCACCTTCGAAGCCAAACCTGATTCAGAGTTAGTTATCAAATCTGTGTTAGAGCATTTCACATACTTGAATTCTGAAATAGTTTTAGAGGAATTGATAATTATAATTTTGCATTCCTCAACCATGGAGCTCACCATATCCTATTTGTGATGGAAAACATGGGAATTATGGATTACATGGCTCATAATATCACAAAAATGGGAATCAACTCTCTTATAATCCTAAATTAGCAAAATTGTTACCCCAAGATAGGTTGAAGTATTGTCTTACCTGCACCAGTTCAAGCAATAAATTCAAGTTCGCGATCATGGCAACGTGATGGTATTGTTGCAAAAAAAAGCATTGATAACTGCGAGTCAATAGTCAAGATATTATTTCGCAATATGAACAAAAATATGTATTTTTTTATTTACAATCAATAAAGCAAAGGCACATTAAGTGCAATATATTTACATATCAATATCTGGTATGTGTTCTGGGATTGTGTTTGTATGCTAATATTTCTCAGAGACTCAAAAATTTTGATAAATGCGCAGTATCATCACCATAACAAGTCTATAATTTATTCTTGAAACTTCTCGCATATACTCAAGATTTTGCATGTATTAATAAAAAAAGACCCCTTGTTGATTCAGAAATAATCTATTATAATTTTAAGAAGTATCTGATCTGATTTTTGTGATGAATCATAATAACGTAATTAGTGTTCCTAATAAATCGAGTCGAGTCGAGTTTCGAGTCAAAATTATCCTATATACCTTTAATTTAAAGTACTTATTTATTATGTGTAACTAAAATTTACAATTATGCACAATCATGCAAGTCAAATATGCGAGTTTATGCGAGTCATTTTCAGAACTCTAAGTATTAGCATATTATTATGAGAGATTTCAAGTGGTTATCATCCTTTTTATATAAAAGGTAAATCATACAATATTGATTTAACTATAGAGATTTCATAAGAACTCAGAGAAAGTATCATTCCAGATATACTTAAAGGTTATGTAATGATTTATACTGGTAAGACTATTATAAATTATAAATTATAAATTTAATTTTAATTTTAAATCATTAAATTGTTTATATGCTTATAGAGTGCTGGAACAATAAGCCTAAAAAATATTTAGTAATGAGATGAGTAGTTGAAATATTAAATGCAATTGTTATGAAAACTAATAAAACTGAAGATAACTAAATAATTAATTGTGAACTAAATCTTCAATCAACAAAGCTACAACTTTATTTTTCTAATATATTACATAGTGATTTATCTCATCTTATTCAAAATTTTAATCAAATGGATAGTTCTCTTGCATCACATAGTGAACTATCTTGATAGATTTAAAATTTTGATCAAATGAATAGTTTTCTTTCTGAAATTATTTGAAATTTTGATTATGAATCAGAAAATGGATCAGATAATAAATTAGATAAAGAATCAGATAATGGTATTAAACTTTATAATAAAGTTAAACATTATCAATATGGATGGAAAGTTGAAAAGGATCTAAAAAAAGTATTTATTTATTATTGAATATTAGCTAATAAAAATAATATTGATGCTCAATGTAATTTAACCAAATGTTTTTAAAATGGATGGGAAATTGAAATGGATGAAGAAAAAGCAATTTATTGGTATCAAAAATTAATTAAATGTGATAATAAAATTGCACAATATAATTTATCCAATTATTATTATTATGGATGGACAATTGAAAAGGCAATTTATTGGTATGAAAAATCAGCTGAACAAATAATAATATATAAAATGATTTAGAATATATTTATGAAAAAGGAATAAATGTAGAAAAAATTTAGAAATAGTGGTTTATTGATATCAAATACCAGCAGCAAATGAAAATAATATTGCATAATACAACTTGGCTTATTTTATATTGATATGGTTTAGGAATTGAAAAAAATAATAATATAGCTTTTTATTGGTATAAAAAATCAAAACCTCTAAGGTTCATTTAACAATCTTACTATTTACATTTTTTACTAAATTATATACATTAAAAAAATTAGAAAAGAAATATACTTTGTGATAATTTTTATATTAAAAAATTATTTTTTTATATAGCATCATAAATTACATGATATTGTATATCATTATATATAGATTTTTTATCATTATATATAAATATTATTATAACATAATACTAATTTATATTAAAGATATATGTAATACTTATTATAAAATAAATAAAAAGATTTATTAATTAAAATTAATATATAAAATTAATTTAATTATAACTTTTTGGTAAAAGATTTTTTATTCTTAACTATTATCATTATATAATAATATTATTATATCTAGTCTTAACTATAGTTATTAATTATAAAAAATTTGGTTTATTTTATAAAATATTAATTTTAATAAATTAAGATTTAATTAATTTCTAACTTACTAAGTAATCTTACTTAAATTATTAAAGATGATTTTTTGAAATATCAAATTAGTTAAAATAATTAAAAAATAAATTTATATATTATTATTTAGTATTACAAAAAATTTAATTTACTTTATAAATATTAAATTAATATTAAGATTTGATTTTTAAACATAAAATGCAATTTATTTTAGATTGAAATATTAAAATTAGTAAAATAATAAAAAATAAAATTTAAGATTTAGGTAATTCTGAGTTTATTTATATAATTTATTTTTATTTATTATTTTAATTATATTTTTAATACAATTTTTATTTAATATCTTAGAAATTTACTTTATGATATATTCTTTCTTTTAATTTAATATTAAATACTCTAATAATATAATCTATATTATTTTACAAATATTTGATTATATTTAAATTAAAGATTGTAATAATTAAAATAAAATTTTTTATATTTTCTTTTAATTATTATAATAATATATTTAAATTATTATTTTTTACAAATTAAAAATTATAATAAATATTTATAAAATTTATATAAATTTAATATTAGTTGAAAGATTAAATAATATAAGTTTTTTTTATAAAATAAATATTAATTATTATAAAGAATAGAAAAATATTTAGCATTTAAAATAATAAACATTATAATAATAATAAAAAAAGTAAAAAATAGATATTTAAATTTAACATTTATATATAATTATATTAATTATTAAAAATAATAGATATTAGTTATTAATTAATAAATAAAATTACAATTAATTTTTCTTTATTTTTTTTTATTGTTATCTTCTACGTAAAAAAAAACCTTTTATTTAATATAATATTATAATTAATTACCAATAATTTAAAAGAACTAATATAATACTTAGTATTTTCTATTAAAAAATTTTATTTTCTCTATATAGATGACTTTAATTTATTAATACAAAAAAAAATAATTTTATAATCAATTGTATGTTTTAAAAAATAATTAACTTTGTATAATATTCTTTGATTCTTTTATTTTATTTATTATCCTAAATATAATGTTGTAAATACTTTTTAATTTATCAATTTCTGATGATAATTCTCAATTAAATACTATGTATCAACCATTACTTCTAATATAAAAACAGTTAAAATGTTTAATAAATATGATTTCATTTTAGAATGAATTTAAATATTAATTATTAATATTATATACAGTGGTGACCAAAAAAAACGCAAGTGCGTAATATAATATTTTGCAAATTATTTAACTTCACGTGATTTTATCTGATAATTATGTAAGTACTACCATTCAAAAGTTACGAATTAGGACTATTACTAGATATAAATTATATAATAATTATAAATAAATTATTTATATAAAAAGCTATTTAACTTTTATTTTTAAATTAAAAAAATAACAAAAAAAGTATATTATATAAATATTAAATTTATTTTATTATTCTTATTTTAATTCAAAAAAAAAACTTAATTTAATTAATTTATTATAAGATTATTATAAATATCAAAAAAAATAGCATTCTATTTTATTAATAAAAAAACTCATTAAAATCTTTAATATGAAATTAATTTAATCGAAAAGATAAAATAAAATTAATAGAATATAATAAGATCAAAATAAATGGATAAATAGATGAAAAAGGTATATAAAAATTATATATTTTAATTAAAAAATAAATTAAAAAAATTAAAAATTAAAAAAAAGAATAAAAAATATAAAATAAAAAATAAAAAAAATTAAAAAAAAACTAAACTGAACTGAAAAAATAAATAAATAAAAAACAAATAAAAAAAATAAATATATACAATACTAATAATTTTTTATTATATTTTAGCTCTTTTTCTTAATTTTTATAAATTACCAGCACGTATAATCATCTTTCTGATTCATAACATCTTTTACATATTTAGGTATTAAGCGAATTAATTTTTCACAAATATCAATTTTAATATTATTTCATATTGTCTATATTTTTTCTCACAATTCATTTTTATTTTTAATTAGCTTATTAATCTTTCACAAGCATCTCTCCACTTCACTTCACATATGTTCAATTGGGTTTAAATCAGACGATTAAGCAGGCCAATCAAGAATAATAATATTATGAGATTGTAACCAATTCTTAGTTTTTCGTGCTTTATGTTTTAGATCATTACTTGTGAAAGATAACATCAGAAATATTTATATCATAATATTCTAAAGTTCCTAAAAAGTCATCATTTAAAATTTGGCAATATAATTTAACATCTAAACTATCATAAATTCAACATAAATATCTGATTCCTTTAGATGTAAAACAACCTCATACAAAATTTCTCCTCTGTCAAATTTTACTGTTCCTTACACATAATTATCTTTTAATGATTCACCAATCCTTTTCCAGCAATATTATCTTTCATCAGATCTAAAAAAGTTAAATTTACTTTCATTCGACCAAATGACTTTACTCTAATTATTGTAATCCTAACTTTTATATTTTTTGTAAAATCATATCTTGCTTTTTTATGTTTAGGTAACAAAAAAGGTTTTTTTTATTTTAACAGCTGATTTAAGATTATTATTCTTAAATATTCTTCATACAATTTGTGGAGAAATTTCAACATTATAATCAAACTTTAATTTTTTTTGTACTTGTGTTATGGTATAATACTCTTCATTTTTAATATATTTTACAACTTACCATTCTTTACGTTCTTTAACTTTTCAAGGTCATTCAGTCTTTGGTAAATCTTTTGTAGATTCTGTTTTTTTATATTTACTATATAATTATGTTATTATACTAATACTAACTTTATATCTTTTTACTAGTTCAGCTAGCATATGTAGTTTTTCGTCAAGAAGAATATAAATTTAAATACGCTCTTCTTCTTTTAACTGAGCTATTGAATACAATAAAAAATAAAAGATTAATAAATATAAACATTTTGTTTTTATTATTTTTAAAAAAATTTATGTTATGATTTTAGAAAAAAATTTACAAAAAAAAAAGAAAAATTAAAAAAGGAAAATTAGAAATTATTTAAAAATAATTTATTAAGATTATAATGCATGTAATTTATATTTTATAATTTTGTATAATCTACATTAATTTGTGATACTATACTTGCATTTCTTTTGGTAGCCACTGTATTTAAATTGATCTTTAAATCAATCTTATAAATTAATTTAAATCAAAAAAAAAACAAATCTTAAATTAAACCAGACTTGTAAAATTGAGATTAATTTTAAAATCAATACTAAAATTAAATTTTAAACTAATCTTATTCTAAAAAAGATAAAAAATTGGTCTTTTTAGATTAGATTAGATTAAACTAAATAAATTTAACCTATTCTTCAAGATATATTATTTTTTTAGATTATTAAAATAATTAGAAAGAAGAAAAGTAAACAAGTCATTAAAGATAATCATAATAAATATTAATAAAGTATATTAAAGACTGATCAGTATAACAATTAATTTATTACCTTAAATAATAAAAAAGATTATTCTTTTTAATACTATTTTAATTAAATCAAACATTTATAATACAATAGTTAAAAATAACTAACTAAAAAAACTAAAGTAAAAATAAACTATAAAAATAAACTTATGATGATATATTATAAAAGTGAAGAAATACAAATTCCAGTTGAATATAAAATTCCAGTATCTGTAAAACTTAAAGAAATAAATTAGAAATATAAAACAAAAAAAGATGAAATTGAAGAAAAATATAAAATAAGAGAAATAATATGAGTTATTCTATTATTCTGAAGAAATTTTTAGAAAAAAGCTAATTCAAATTATAAAAAAATCTAAAGAAAAAGTAACATATAAAAATTATATTATTAATATAAAGAACTTAAAGAAAAGTTATTTTATAAAATAACTTATAATAATTAATAAAAAAAGTGAAAAAATTTATAATGTAAAGAAAAATAATTTAAAAGAATCTTTGTAATAAATTATAATATAAATATAAAAGATATTCTTCTAATAAAGTAAAGGTTTATCAAACTTTATTTTAAAATCAAGAGTTCATAAAATAGAAAATCAGAAATTATTAGGAATAAAATTAATATAACTTTTAAAAGTCAGTTAATATCTCCAGTTATTATAGTAAAAAAGAAAAATAAATAAAAAGTATATATGTATAGATTATAAAAAGTAGGATAAAATAATGAAAAAAATAATTATTTTTTTTAAAAAATTGATAATAAGTTAAATATATTAACAAATTCTTAATAGTTCTCACTTTTAGATTTTTTAAGTCAATTTTGATAAGTGATAAAAGAGAAGAATTATAAGAAAATAACTTTCATTATAAAATTTAAAACCTTTGAATTTATAGTAATATCTTTTAGCTTATATAATACTCTTGTAATTATTTAGAGATTAATGGATATAGTTTTAAAAAAAATCTTTTAGTAAAATATAGTAATATCCTTTAATTTATAAACTTTTTCAATCATATTTGCTTGCAAAAATTCCAAAAATTTAGTATATTACAAAGGTTTAGATTTATACTAGTAATATATTTTTTTTATTTAAATAAAAAATAAATAAAATTTTACTACAAATTAAATTAATTCAATTTTTATGAATTTTTATCAAATTTAATTATATTATCTGTTAATAGAAAGAAAGTTATAGTACTATATTATATAATAATTTTATTATATTTTAATAATTTTCTATATAATAATTTAAGCCTAAAAAGTTCATAAGCAAATTTTGTCTGCATAATAAATGAAAGAATATGTAAATAATATTAATATTAAATTCAAAATCTTTGATAAATATCTTTTTTATTTGGAATAAGTTTTCTTATAGCTATAATAATTAGAATTAAAGCTAAACTAAAAAATGTTTCTTTTGAAAAATACTTCTATTTTAGAATATGTTATTAATTGTAAAGACATAAATTAATTTAAAGAAAGTTGTAACAATTAAAGGGTTTCTAATACTAAAAAATTTAACTCAGCTAAAAAGATTTATTATAAAACCACAATTTATTAAAATTTTAGTATTTAGTATAATAGGTAAAATTTTCATTTAGAAAATTTAGTAATAATCATAATATTAATATTTATTTTCTTAAAGATTATTTTTAATCAAATTTATTTTCTAAAAAAATTATATTTTTAATATAATAATTAATTAAAATTCACTATCAATTTAATTTCTTATAAAGCTATTAACTTTATTAATAAGTTCATTTTATTTTCTAGTCATAGTTCAATTTTATTTTATTAAGTATATTTAATTTAGTTTATTTTATAATTATCCAATATGTATAAATATTCTGTATTTTCTTTAAATTTTAAAATTAATAAGATAACAATTTTTATATAATAAATTTATCATTATATTAATAATAAGTATTCTGTAATCTTAAAATTTTTTTAATATATGAAATCTTATTTATCATACTTATTTATTACAGATTAATTTTATAACGTCATACTTAATATTATAATGATAATGCTAGTTAAAAAGTCACGTGCTGATAATTTTGTTAGTATAGCTAAAGAAGTTTTAAAATTTATAAAATAATAAGAAATATTTCTAAAAATTTTAATTTTCTTACATCATAGTAAAATTATATTTGTATTCAAAATATCAAATATTAGATATATTAGGTATTATGTAATAAAATCAGTAATTATCTATTATACTAAATAATTATTAGAATTTTTTTATAATTATAGCCTGATTAATTCAGACGTCAATTTATTATATCAATTGTTAACTATAAAAATTTTAAAATTAAATATAACTTTATTTTTATTAAAAATCATATTATTTAATTATAACAAAAAATTTATTTTATATAATTTGGTATATTTATAATATACTTTTTAAAAAATAATTTATTTTCTTATAAAAATTCTATTTATTATTATTATTTATCATATATTAATTTCAGTTAAAAATCATAATATTATAACATATTTGATAACAATATATATAACTTATATTTATTTATTATATTCTTATTTAAAAACTTTTTAACTTACACATAGCTAAATTTTAAATATTAGAATATTTGATCTGAAATGTAAAAAAGATTTATATTATTACATAAAATACAAAATAAAGAATTATAAATCATTTTTAATAAAGATAATGTAAAACATTAAATTATATTTCAGAAAATTACATTTTACAGATTTGTTAACAAAATTAAATATGCAAAAAAAATGATTAATTTGACAATATATATATTAATTCTTTTACTTTTTAAAATAGTAATTATAATAATATGATCAATCTAAATGTTCAGATAATATATGTTATAAAATTAAAGATAATACTAAAAGTTCCATAATGAGAATAATTTTTATTAATGACTTATTATACCTATATCATCTTATGAATTTGTAATTTATTTTATAATTTTTAATAATTTTTTATTATATTTAAACTATAATTAACAATCATGGAATATATTTCTATTACAGGAGTTCAAATATTATTCATATGGTAATTAGATGTCAATCACTTTATTTTTATATAGAAAATTTTGCTTTTACAAAAGTTTCTTCTATGATAACCTTATATTTATGAAACTGATTATCTATTACTATTTAAGTTAGAAATATAATTGTAATATTTCTTTATTATTTTAGATCTTAAATTTATCATTTATGCCTATATGTCTCTTTATTTATCAATTTCTTTTAAAAAATCGCTTCGCTTAATTTATTTAACATAGGTTTAGAGAACATTTAGTCAGTCAGACTTCAACCATTTTTTTCAGACCAATATTGAGATGAAAGAAAATGATTTAATCATAAACCTTGATTACCTTTTAAAACCCTTTTTAGCAGAATACACTTTCAGATAAAGAAAAATATTTTTTAACTAGATGAGTATAGGATGAGGCTTTGGATTTTAAATATTAAAAAATCAGATAAAGTAATTAATGTATTTAACTTTAGATTCATTTCTGCTACTATTTATTAATATCACAAATATATAATTAATTGATTAGTCTGATTAATTGTTTCTTCTTTATTATATAGCACTGAATATACTTCAAGAATAATTCAGATTCACATTAAGAATCTAATCTGAATTTTTCAACTTCGACAAATTCTGTCTATGTAGTTTTAACCTAGAATTGATCGAGAGAAGCGTTATATTGAAAATGCATGAATTTTATTAATAATTAATGAGTTAAATATATTCAAGATACTTAGCTGTTAGAGAAATCTGCATAATCAGAAAACTATTTGTGAAAGAAACGTAGTTAGTAATTGAAAAATTGCAAAAAAAACAATGTAAAAGTGATATCATATTAAAATAATGAAATAAAAAATAATTTTCATCCTTTGTTAAAAAATAATTCTCATTAAATATAAAATCCTCAATTTCGTTTTTTATAATAAAATAAATTTGCTTTTATTTAAATTAAAAAATGTCAATCTTATTTTGTTGTACAAATTTTGCATGTATGCATATTTTTGCCTTTAAATAAATTACACTTATATATTTACGACAATTAAGTTTCTGTGAAAAATAATAATTCAAAACAAATGAGTGATTCTGAATTTACTTACATGGATTTTGAGAAATGTAGCACTAATGCTTTTAAAGAAAATAATAAAGAGAATATTGATCAAATTGCCCTTGTAAGTGCTCAAGCCTTATTAAATGATGATGATGAAAATGTTGGCATAGATTGAAGCAAAATTAAACCTGAAGATTCTGATTCTTGCAGCAATTCCTTTCAAATAATACATGATAATATAGATGTAGAAATTGAAAGAACCTCCACGCAAGGCATAAATTTAATAGCATGTGTAATTATAGATACTATTCAAGGTGAAATAAAACATTGTAATGGTATAGTAAACCAACGGCAATTAGAGCAAATGGTAGAGACATGGAAGATAGACGTAGATATAATTAAAGATGTTAAGAATAATCTTCATCAGCTTAGGGTATATTATTCTTATTTTCTTTTCGATCAGAACTAACTTCATGATAAAAACACGAAACAATCATGTTCGATTGAGCAGAGCATTATCCATTTTCGCTTCTGCATTTTCTGTAATAAAAAAATGTTTCTTTAGCTATAGTAATAGTTGCAAAAAGCATTTATGAAGCATTAATGGGTGTAATATTCAAGTACCTTATATTGATATTCATAACTGTTCTGCATTTACCGAAGGACCTATTGTAAAAAAATCATTTTCAAGTTATTGTGTATGTTATATCTGTTCAGAATGCTTTCAAAATCAGGGTAGACATTTATACGAAAGATCAGATAAAAGCCAAAAGAACATATTGTGTATTAAATGTGAAAAACATTGTGATGATACAAGTGACACTCTATAGCATATCAGAAGATGGATAATATCAGTAATAGAATCAAATGATAATAAGTTACAAGAAAGACTCCTATTTTTGATAACCCTAGCATTAGCTATTTTTAACAATAGAACTATGAATAAAAGCTTATCAGAAATGAAAGTGGCAAAACTTCCAAGCAAGTTACTTGTTAGAATAGCAATGAGAATGGGAAAGTTGAATTGAATAGATTAACGGAAAGGTCTCATATAATAATTCTGAAAAAGACTTCGATAATGGGAGAAAAATTAGGAAGAGAAATTTTATCTTCGTGTTCTAAAATTCAGCGAAATATCAGTCAATTAGAAACTTAAGTTCATATGAAAACTATTTTGAAGCATTGCCTAAAATCATTTGTAGTTCTTTCAAATTCTCATCATAGTACTATAATAACAAAAACAAAATGTTGTTAATAAAAAAAGACTTCAATGTGAACTTTTCCCAAAATTGCTCAATACAAGTTAAATATCAAAAACTACTAATTTACTGACCTTCATGTTACTAACCATCGTTTTCCCTGGAGTGAAAATTTGACTTTCATACATCATATCATCAATGTGCCAAAAACTAAAATTACTACCATATTTATGAGAGATCCTTCATTCAGTTTATGTTATATCTTATACTAAGAGGCATAAAAATCGTCTTAAAAAACTTAGAATACATCATACAGACCCTAGAGAGAATTTAATCGAGGGATTAAATATTTGAAATTTAGCAGTAATTGACAATATTGATTTTAAAGCTTCTATATTCTCGTATGACAATATTTTTGATATTATGTGATAAACTTCACATGCAATATTACAAGTGGTATTTTAGTTCACTCTTCTTACTTCTCTTAATGACTTAATTGAAAACTATAAATTCATTAATCAACTACTGTTCAGGAAGTCTCCAACTACTAATAACCTTTTAATAATATATGAAAATATTTTGAATATATTATTAGAGACTCGTGTAAATGAATTTGATATAAAAGATGTATATTCAGAAATCATCAAAAAAGTGACTATAGGTTGTAATACTTTACCACTACCAAATGTTATAATATTGGAACCTGATGATCTACCCAACTGTAATGATAATGTTCATGCAGCATGTGAAATATACTGTGATGATTTACCTCATGGTAATGACAATCGTCTATGTATTGCATGTGACTAAGCAATTTTTGGGATTAATCTCCTATAAGAATAATCACAAGGATACTTAGCTTCTTTTGGGACAGTGGCATACATCTAAAGATATGTGTAGCACTTTAATTACAATATTCTCAGGATATGGAATATTTAACTTTGTGACAATCCTTAGTATATAATACTTAGATAAACTTGAACGTGTCATAGATTACTGGGCAATATGTCGTGTATTAGAATTGATTTGGATTGCAATCAGAATTGCATTGTATCAGCATATGAAAAACAAAGGAGAAACTATGAATGATATTTTAAAGGGTAATAATCAATTTATAAAGGTATGGTATCTCTTCTTCTGTTAGGCCGGATACTTAATGGATCATAAAATAGAAATTAGAAGAGGAAATTATAGGATGCAGATATCAAATTTAGCTGTATTCGCACATCTCTTTCCTGCAGCTGGAAAATTCAAGTATGTAAGTTCCATTACACATTTTTTGACTCAAGCTCATGATGATTTACAGCTACAGAAATTATTACAAACAGTATGCTCAGTAAATCTTATAAGTGAAGAATATTATTTGGCTTTTGATGAAGCATTTGAAACATATAGCGTAAAGTTTATAAAATAAAATATTACCAGAAATCTTACTGACCAGCCAACCATGATATCAAAGATTAAGGCAGCTCAGAGTGAGAGAGATCGTTTTATCAATGCTTCTTGCAAAATACACTGATGATATTGTGGTAAGCCAAAATGCTTACGTGATCAAGTCACAGAAAAATTCACTTTAGTCTTTAGTTGAAAAGTTATCATCTGTCTTTGATCATTCAAATTCTACAATGCACCATTTATTTGAAAATGCATCAGAAATTAATGAAAAGGGTATTAAAAATATTCTTTCTTTTTATGAGTTTAACAAATCACGTTTTCAACAAATTCTTATGCAGAATGTATACAAAACTGAATCTCAGATAACTGTTAGACGTCATACTTGAGACATAAGTATTATACTTATGCTCAACTTAAAAGTATAAAGAAATAAAAAAGTAGTAAAGTAGACAAACCTACTTGTTTATCAATTATTCAACAGTATACTTTGTCATCATTGCAACAGGTATTACTTTCTGATACTAGCCATTCAAGAAAGATACGTTGTATTACTACAAATGTAGAAAAAGCTATACTTGACCAATTATTTGAATTTGAAGAAAAACCACCTGAAACTGTAATATTAAAAGTATTATCAAAGCTTCAAGCTATCTCTTCAGATTGGACGGCTGAAAGAGTCAAACAGTATGTAAGAAATAACTGTCACAAGGTTCAAAAATAAAGTATAACTGATATCTACATATAAATAATAAATAAATTTTATTAATAATATATAAAAATACGTTTAGACTTTAATGCATTTGAATTTTCCTTAATTAGAATCCAGAATTCTAATACTATGATATTTTACACATCCTTTGAAATCCCTTATTAGAACCCAGAATTCTGATACTACGATATTTTACATATCTTTTGAAGTGTTCTATTATAAAGTTAAATATTTGCATTAGTAATTTACCAATAATTTAGAATTCAATATAAAAATGATTGAAAATAAAACTTTTTATTACAATTAAGATCCCAAATTTCTACCTGATCTCTTTAATTACCTTATTATTCCGATTCTTTGAATTAACTTATCTATCTTAGTAGAGTCTAAAGAAAGAAAAATGGCATAAATAATTTTGAATTGAAAACCTTAACTTATCTTAATTTATCTTATTAAATAATGTCTCTAAGCAAACGTCTATAAGTCACAAGTAAAGAGCCTTTGTATAAATAATATATTTCGCAGTGCTCTTTATTTACTGCCTTTTAACCAAAAAAGCTGGTTTAAAACTAAAGTATTTGAAAGAAAATCTCAGAATTTATGTTAAAAAATAGCATTTCTCAAGTCAGATTCTACTTGGTGTAGAATTAAGCAACAAATATATTTTTAGCATAGAATGAAAACACAAAACTCAGACAATAAAACTTGTCTAAGGTCAAAATATTATTTACTATAGGTAAATCGAAGCATTTTTATAAGAAAGTCATAGTATTATATGTTACACAAAAATCAATTACTATCAAAATCATCGGAGGGGACATGTCCCGTGACTGTTAATTACAAACTAGTATGACATAATTTTTATAAATAGAATATATAATAATTTGAAATAAAAGACAATAATGCAAAGCTACGAGAAAATATATCTATAATGTCAAATTTTTAATATGAATGCTTTATAATAGAAAGGGAAGAAATTATAAATTTTACTTTCCATGTTAAATATGCTGCAAAACGTTCATATGGGAGAAAATCCAGGTTCCGAGAAATTTTGACTAAAATTAAGAACATTAATACATTTTTAATCTAATAATATCAAAAACTAAAAATGCAATAAAAACCGGGTAATTGTTAAAAAATTCCCGGAACCTGATTTTCCTGGCAATCAACTCATAGTCGAACTCTAAATCGTTACCCTTAAATATAAGTAAGTTAAACTAGCCAATCATCAAATTCATTACATCATGATGCTCTAAGATCTTATTAAAAAAAAAACGCCATATTTTTCCCCTGGAAGGAAATTCCTGTATAAAATGATCAAAATAAAAACTTGGGTTCTTCAGACATTCATTCACATTTCACATTTTCAAATTTTAATTTATTTAATATAATCTTTTTATAAAAATGAAGGGAACTCTTAAAGTTATCGTCGGTAAGATTATTACCAGGAAAAATATATTAAAATAAGTGTATATATATACACATAAATATAATAATAATAATATATATATTTTTTTATTCGATTAGCCGAAGCAAGAAATTTGAAGGATGAAGATCTTGTCGGCAAAAGTAAGTATCTTGTTAAAAAATAAAAAATTTCATTTAATTCTTTAAAAGTAATTTCAACCGTCAATTTATAGGTGACCCATATGTTAAACTTATTCTCGATGAAAATAACATTCAAACGACTCAAACCAAAAAAAACAACTTGAATCCGGTATATAATGAACAATTCTCCTTGTAAGTTATTAATTATATGATGAATTTATCGGTATTCATCTTATTGAACAAATAGTTGATAATTTTTGTAGCAACGTTGACGGACAAAAAAAGCTTGAAATCAAAGTTTACGACAAGGATACAGTCGGTGATGATGATTTGGTATGAAAGCACTTTGAAATTTCTAAAATTCACAAAATTTCATTTACTAATTTTTTTTTTGTTTAAATAGATTGGCGAAGAGAAGATTAAACTTTCTGATATTTCCTCTAAAAAATACGTAGATACTTGGGTGAAATTGACAAAGGGTAAACTTGGATTCAGAAGCAAGGGAGAAGTTCATTTGATTTTGGAATTCATTAATTAATTTACTTTATGGTTACGATCGTATCGGGAATTACATCACGCGCATATAATTAATTCAAAAAAAAACATTTACAGATATTAAATAATATTGTTTTGACATTTTTTTTAAAAAAAAATAATAAATATTAATTTTCCTAAATAATAAAACAACGACACGTTGTCATCGTTGCCTTTTGCCATTAATGCGGCAGCAAATGGAATTCTTAAATATAGTTTTGACGAGGTTTTATTATGGTTTCGAATAGCCAATAAGATTTAAATATAGTGAACCCAAGAAGAAAATTAATAAAGGTTGAAAATAGAAAATTATAAGTGAAGTGTAACGCAAGCCTGCCGTAAAATGATCAGCTGGTGTGATGTACAATGAGCCTTGGCAAAAATAAAAAAATAATGACGGTTAAATATTACCAAAATAAACAGTTAAAACAACGCCCACGCCACGAAATTTTTTTTTTTTTTTAGTATAAAAATGGAAAAATGGGACTCATCTCTAAACAAAACTAAATTGACAATTATTTTCGTCTAAAAACTTACAATGACCAAAAAAGAAAAAGGAGTTCTTAAAGTTACAGTTAGTAAGTGATTAATGTTAAAAGAAAAAAAATATATATATCTCGAAAAAATTTTTTATAAACTACTTTTATTTTATCAAATTATTAAGTTGAAGCCAAAAATTTGAAAGATGAAGACAAACTCGGCAAAAGTACGTATTTTTTCATTTTTTTTTTTTTTTAAAAAAAAAACTTGATTCTTTGATAGCTGATGAAATATCGTGCCTTGAAAATAGGTGACCCTTATGTTAAACTTATGATTGAAGGCAAAAAAGAACAGACCACCGTTAAGAGTGGTGACTTGAATCCAACTTATAATGAAGAATTCTTATTGTAAGAATCTAATTTTTCCTAAAATTTAAATCACCTAACAAAAGCTAAATCAAATGATAAACGCTTGTAGCGACATTGACGGAGAAAAGAGCCTCAAACTTGAAGTTTGGGACAAAGATCATATTGGAAAAGATGATTTGGTGAGAATAAACTACAATTAGATTTATCTTGGATAAAACATTTGATTTCTGATTTGATAACGATTTCATTAGATTGGAAAAAACGACGTTAAGCTTTCTCATGTCATCTCTAAAGGGAGTGAAGATATCTGGGTCACAATGAGAGAACATACAATTGGAAGAAACAGGGGGGAAGTTCACTTAAAACTAGATTTCACTCCCTCCTAATTCTTTTTCTTTTCTTTTGTAAATCTATTTCAATAAAATAAACGAATAATTCGATATAACATTTACACGTGTATATGATATTTACCCGAATCGATATGTACAAAAATAGGAATTATAATAAACATGTCCTTTTTAGAGAAAGTGTAATGTTGGAATAACGCCCACGCCCACCCATGGTTTGGGTGACGGTGATGATTAAGTTTATATCACTTTCTCACGCCTATAGATAATCTGACTTTATATGTCATAATTTATATATAACTTGGTTACATCTTTGGAAAAAAAAAAAAAAAAATAACCCTTTCTCTCGTACAATTTTATCAAGATGACCAAAGGAAGTCTTAAAGTTACTGTTGGTAAGTTTTTAAATGTAAAAAAATTACATAAATAACCTCTAATTTTTTTCTTACATTCAATGTATTAAGTTGAAGCCAAGAAGTTGAGCGATTTAGACTTTATTGGTAAAAGTATGTATATACTTTATATAAACTTATGAAAAATATGGATCACCAGGCTTTCGTTCAACACAGTTAATTCTTAAAATAGGTGACCCCTACGTGAAACTTGTCCTCGATGTAAATAAATCTCAACAGACTACAATCAAGAAAAGCGATTTGAACCCAAAATATAATGAAGAATTTGATTTGTAAGACTTTTATTTTTGATTTGCAAAAAAAAAAATAAAATGTTTATTGTCCGGTGACTAAATTCATTACATGAACCTTTTAATAGCACCACTGATGGACAGAAGGAGCTTAAGGTTGAAGTTTGGGATAGAAATACTATCGGAAGTGATGAAATAGTAAGATATATAGCATTTTTTAAAATATTTATAATCGAATACATTTACTATTTCTTTTCTAATTTCTTTTTTTTTAACAGATCGGTTCGGAAGTTATCCCACTAAATACTGTTTATACTAAAGGTTACCACGATGTTTGGATCAAAATAAAAGCAAAAAATGACAAAAGGAACCATGGAGAGGTTCACTTAATCCTCGAATACGCTGTTTAATTAAAATTAATTTAAATTTTTTATTCTTGCAATAAAACCGATTTTAAAATTTGTGATACAATGTAATGATTAACATTATCACGAACCATTCATCTGCATTTTGTATTACGAGTTTAAATATCATGCATGACAATGTTATCAGCCAAATTTCCAATAACACCTTATTGAGAAATCATTGACATTTGTCAAATATCACTATAATCTTCATGTGAATGATTCAAACGCCCAGATTAAAACTATTTCGGTTTAGTCCCGATAACCAAATAGCCAGATTTATCACATCAAATATAAATCACAAATTCCTTTTAAATTCGGCTGTTCCTTTCCTCGTTGTATTTTTAAAAAAAAAAAAAAAATTTTTTTGCTTGATAAATTTTCTAAGAGAAATAAATAAAATGGCCAAAGGTGTACTTAAAGTTACTGTAGGCAAGTCTCGTAACGTTATATATAAGACTCATTTTCCCTTTTATATTTTCTAACCGTTGAATTCTACGTTTCAAATTTTTTCATCCTAACAGTTTCAGCCAAAGGTTTGAGAAATGCGGATGAAGTCGGTAGGATATCCTAATAAATTCTTTATCGTTTGTTGATATTTAGATGATTATTGATTATTTTTTTAATGTTATAAACTTCAAATTACAGGAAAGAGTGATCCCTATGTTGTACTTTCGATTGACGGAGCTGAATCTCAAAGAACTACAACTAAAGTTGGCACTTTAGATCCAGTCTGGAATGAGACTTTTACATTGTAAGTGTACCGTCTGTGAAATTCATGTGAGCATTTCATGGAAAAATCACCCTTTCCTTTAACATTATTCCTTTGCTTATTGCGCTTTATAGCCAAGTTGATAGACAGAGTAGGCTTTACTTCAAGATATGGGACTCTGACCCAGAAAAGGCAGACAAGGGGAAAATTAATGATGATTGGGTATGTTGTTGTTGAAATAATAATTAACCAGGTTTCATCTAAAGTTATTAATCATTTATTTATTTTACGCAATTAGTTGGCTGAAGGTAAAATCGATCTTACTGAAGTGTTCACAAAACATCATGTTGAAGGAACTCATGAATTAAAACATAATTTGGGTTTCACTAAAGATGGTGTAATCACCTTAAGATTAGATTTCAACCCGGTTAAATAACTTTACCTTTCTTGCGATTAACACTTTTTTTTTTAATTTTAAAAAAAAATATATATATGTATAGTTTACCATTATAATTATTATTATTATTTTTTTTCTTTTTGATGTTAATTATGTTCAAAATGAGAATTTTAAAACAAAAATAAATACGTTTGAGAATTCTGAATGAAAAGAATGAAAAGAATAAAAAGTTATTGTTAATCTTTATATTTTAACTTCTGTTTCATGTATGTGATAAATAAATGTAAATTTGACATAATTGAAAGCTCTTATTTCATAATTATCCCTTGCTTCGCCTCAAAATGAATCCTTACGTATAACATTAAATGTAATGATGATAAGAAAAATTATAAAAAAAAAAAAAAAAATGTTAAAAATGAAAAAAAAAAATTTCAACCAATTATTATTCTTAATAAATTAATTGAATAAGTGAGGTGTGAGTGACTCGAACACCCAACCTTCCGCTCTGGAGGCGGACGCGCTACCATTGCGCCAACACCCCGGTTTGCTTATAAATTGTGAAAAAGATTTTTAGATAAAAATTAAAATTCTGACGATGAATTTTTTTTTTCCTATTTATTAACCCATTCATTCAATTGATCCAATCAACGACTTGCGTAATTATTTTTTTTTGCTGTGCCTACCAAACAAACATGTCGCCATGCCAATCGGCATTAATTAAAAAATAGCAAATATTTTAGCTACAATATGAAACAATTTTATCTTATATGAAAACTTTATTTTCTCCAAAATTAGTTTTACACTAAAATAATTAAAGGTGTCGTCAAAATTGATATTTATTATATATATATTCGGGAGGATTGGAAAGGAAAATTGTGTATGTAAAAGTACAAATATAACTTACATTAAAATCAAAAAAAAATAAAAATAAATTAAAAAGTTTTGTAAACCAACTGCATTAAATCAAACCCCAATTTATATTAAGATTTATTAAAAAAAAAAAAACTAAAAATTAAAAGAAATCTAAATTAAATTCTATCTAAATTATGCAATATATACGTTTTTTAAATGTCGGTGTTTTATTTTGGGGGGTTTTTTTCTTCCTAGTACTTTATTCATCCTAGTACATTAACAAACCAGATATTAAACCGATCAAGGTAAAACCAAATATACTTGAAAGCTTTTCGGCAGAGTTGGCGACGACCTTGTTTGATTTCTCTTCAGCATTTGCGACAGGGACTTCTTTTTCTTTTTCTGGTGCAGGTCCTTCAACAATTTTTGGAGTTTCTGGTGGATTTTCTGGTTGAGGTTCTGGTTTTGGAGCTTTAATTGGGGCCTTTGCTGTGGTTTGAGCTGGAGCTTTTGTTGCTGCTGCTTTCCCATCATAAGCTGGGATTTTGCCACTTAAACATTGTTCAACTGTGACAAACTGATAACCTTTGGCCTTGATCATGTCAATGACCTTTGGGGTCATTTTCACACTGTAATCTTTAATGTCGTGTTGCAGCGTAATGAAAGAATCCGCCTTTGGATTGGATGGATTTATAATGGCCTCCATGTTGGTGTAAAGTTTTCCATATTCATTCACTTTTCCTTCGTACTGCCAGTCGTTTGAGTCGCAATTCCATTGAATGATGGATAAACCCATCGTGCCAGTCAAAACCTTGGCGCAATTTGCGTTGCAATTACCGTAAGGTGGTCTAAAAGAGAAACAAAGTGGGAGGGATTAAAGTTAATGTCAAGTTTCGTAACTTTTTTTTAATGAATCTCAAAAAAGGTTTGAAATTTACCTTGCCATCTTCGGTCTTACACCGATAGTATCTTCAACAGCTTTAAGGTTGATCTCATATTCATTTTGAATGGCTTTTGCGGATAAAGTGTTCATATCGGCGTGTGTGTTTGAATGCAAAGCGATTTGATGTCCCGCGTCGAAAGCGGCCTTGAGTGCGGCTTTTCCTCGTCCTTCATTAATGCTCTTACCCAAAACGAAAAATGTCGCTGGGATTTCTGCAGTCTTTAAGGTTGTTAATAATTCTGGTGTGAAATCTGATGGACCGTCATCGAACGTTAAAGCGACGGTTCCTGGAGCGTCGCATTTAAAAAAGAATCCAGCACCATCATCTTGTGCTGATACGCAAGCTACCGATAAAGCGATGGATAATATGATTGATTTGAATTGCATTTTGTGTCTTTTTATTAAAAAAAAAAAAAAAGCGAAATGTGTTGTATGTATGTATGTATGTATGTATGTATGAACGTTAAACGTTATTTTTTTTCGTATAATCTTTTAGTTATTATGGATAAAAAAGTGAAAGGACAAGGAATAAAGAAAAGATGGTTTCAATGGAAATAAATGAAGTGTTTAAATATCTTTTTTTTTTTTTTTTCCTTGATTAAAAAAAGGTAATTATATAATGACTTATATAGGGAAAAACCTAAATCAGGATTTGTGCATTAAGGGGTTGTGATTGAATGAATGTTAATGTTTAATAATCCGAGTAATCTATATTTATCGGGGTAAAAATAGACCCTAAAATTTAGAAATTGACAGATGATGTGGGGAATCTTTAAAATAAGTAAAATAAAATAAAAATAAAATAAAAATAAAATAAAGGGGAAGGAAAGGGGTTGGTAAAAATAAATTAAAATTAACTTTCGCCTTTTTTTTTTTTTAAAGCTTAAAAAAAAAAAAATGTAACAGGTATCGATGCGAATAGTCCCTCATATGCGTGATTGCTGCGTGTGTAAGTGTGTAAAGAAATACAGTCGGAAGCGATAGAAATGAGAGATATCAAAGAACGTAAAAAAAGCAAACCACGTCCAAGATGATAGGCTTTTGTCCCCGTGAACGAATTAATATCGGTCGTTGCACATAATAAATGTATAAATAAATATAACAATTTTAATTTACTTTATTTTATTTTAATTATTTATTTTTATCGATAACGTTACATTGATTTTATTGATATTATTACCTTTATGAGCTTAATTTTAATATCAATTGTATTTTTCATATTTCATTTCAGCAATGATAATTTATCATGCATAACCATAACGGTAAATACACCCCGTGTAAATAAAAACAATTATTAATAAATCTATTATTTTTTTTCATAAACAAAAAAACGTTTCAAAATAGTTAGTGGGAGATTAAAAATGTCAAAATATCGGAAACCTGTCCGAGTTATTAAATTTCTAAATATACGTAAAATTTTTTTTTTTTTTTTTTTGTGCCTCGAACTTCAAAACAACATGCATGGTTTTTTTTTATGATGAACGTTGTGCAATTTATGCAGCTCATAGGGGACTTTATGATAAGCTATTTTAGAACATTCAAAGTATTTATCATTGTTGAAAAGGGTAAATACATAAATAAATACAACTTAAACTTACAAGCATCCTGCAAATATTAGTTACAACATAGGGAGAGATGAGGAAGATGGATAACCAACTTTTTGGTGGTGGCGTAGGATCTAAAGATATTAGGATCGTTCGTCTTCTGTAAACAATCATGTCGGAGTTATCCTTTTAAATTGTCGGAGTAAAAAGGATCGGAAAACAAAACGGTGTATTCACTAAATTACCTAATGTTTAGATTATTACTTAATTTGGCAAATAGGTAATTAAATTTCATCGTAAATCCCTTCCATTTTGTTCCAAAATCGGATCCTTTTTTGATCAATGATGAGGATCGGAATTAAACAGTAGATTCGGTCTATGATTTATTCTTGCAAGAACGTTTTATGCTCATTACTGAATGAAGAAGCAAAAATTGTATATATCTTTTTGCTTCTTTATTTGTATCAAAATGTATGATATTTCGTTCGTGACGGTACGAAAGTTTAAACTTTATCACAAAGGACGTTCGTTAGACAAACCCCGTAAAAATGTCGAACAATATTATCATATAGATGCAAACGGTCAACACGAAAAAAGCGCGGGGTTTAGACTTTTTGAATTCCGTATGCATTGACGATTCCTTCGCGTAATTTTCCAAAAGGCAAAACTTTTATGAAGAGGGGAGGATCCTTGGTGTGTCAATGCAGCCTAATTTGCGTTGTATTCCCGTTGTATTCCCTATCTTATAAAATTTATTATTTGGATATGCAAATAAATACGCTCTTAATTTTTCTTTTACTCCATGTGCAAGGCAAAATGATGAAGTTTGGTAAATAATAATTATTTGTAAGCATGATTGTTTACAAAAAGATTTCAATCCTCCCTTTTAACAAATTTTTTAGGACCCCAATTTAACGCTCATACGGGAATTTTTATTTGTCAAACAAATAAATTGATTGATCCAATCAATTGATCTTAATGTGAAAGTTAAACGACAAATTCCTTTAACCCTTTTTGGGAGATGGTTAATTGAAAAAAATTTATTGCAATTAATTCGTCTTTATCCTTTAATTCTTTCAATTACTATCTGTTAACTTTGTATGGAAACAATCAGAAATTTTTGATGGAAATGATGATTATGAAGTTCTATGAAGAAGATCATTCGTACCACATTACATTAAATTTGTACTCGCTTTCTGATCATATGTTTGTGATTGCCAAGAAAAATGTAATTTGCCAAGAAAAATTCAAAAGATTATAAAAAATTTCCGTAGCAGATTAGGAACGATTCCGAGAAAAATTCGAAATACTTTTCCAATCGAGGTTAAAAGTGGTCGGAGATTAAAAAAAAAAAAAAATCTGACGGTTTTTTGTTCAACAATGCGTCGAGCCATTGATCATCGTTGTGATTGTGATTTTCCTTTACGATAAATTGACTTTTATTAGTTAGTTAGATATATATTTGGTGCTAAAACCTATTAATAGATAAAACTATGATAAATGAACCTCATGAAACAAATCTGCTTCATGTGCAATTTTTTTTTTGTCATGTACCGAAACCTTGGTCCTTTTCGGGATATGATCTATGAACATTTATAACAATACCCTATTGTAACATTTGATAATCTTTTTTTTTTTTCAACATGCGATGAATCGTTCATTGTTGAAAAATGGCTGAAACGAATAAAATTTTTAAATTTCTTAAAGAAATCACTTTTTAAAAAAAAAAATATGCAAAGGGTACGTATTTTCGATCATGACCACATACATACATATTTTGGTTTAAAATTATCACCTGATTTTTTCTTTTTTTTTTCCCAGGAAAATTGTACGATTTTTTTTTTCCAAACCAGTTGAGAGACTTGAATTGAAACCAGGATCGATTTAACTTCTTTTAAGTTAACGCAGTATAGTCAGGATCATGACGTAAGGCGTCATGACAGAGCAAGCGTCCTCTCTTTGGAAAACAACTCGCTCACGTGATTATTCCCAATAACACGTGAACGTATTACCGAACTTCCCGGGCGTCCTTAACCTTTATCGTCCAACCCCATGTATAAATAAAGTATAAATCACGTGACATATACAGTTGCGGTTTAGGATAAAGGTCTACACCCCTCCTAAGGTTAAGATGCCCCTAACTTCCCCAGCGTAACCACCAAAAATCTCCGTCACGTGATATATTTTGTCGATCATATCCAAAATAGTTAGATTAATTTTAACGAAAATTGTTTTTTTAAAATAAAACTTCACAAACTTTTTCAGCATTTAACAATTATACCACCCATAAGAATTAATATTACATGCTCTACAAATTTGCTTAGAGATCAAAAGGAGGTTTCAAACGCCTTTTTTGACTTTTATATTATATTTTATAAAAGATAACTCCACTGAAAAAACAGTATTCATAATCACCATTTTCTTATTAAGTAAACTTGTAAAGAAGGCAAAATTACATATAGGATTCAATTTTGGAATTCGTATAGTACTTATTCTAGGTTTTATTTAAAAATAATAAAATAAAGAAAAATTTTCGTTAAGCTTGATAGTCTATTTTTGGAAATGATCAGCAGAAATTGATCACGGGACTGGGGAAATCGTATTACCTGATGTTATCAGGTGATTTGCCGTGTGATGTAACTGGTGTAATGTCCCACCGGCATGCGCAGTTTCACAATATAAAAGGTGGAAATTTTGGATCAAGTGTGCAAATATTCATTTTGATCCCTATCAACCGCAAAAAAAAAGAAAAAAAAAAAAATCGGCCAAAGATGAAATTTCAAATATTGAACACAAATTTTCCAAAAACGGAAGAAGGGCGAGTTTACCACATGGAAGTCAAGAGAGGAGAAGGTACGCTTATCTTTTTTAATATCCTTGTAGGAAATTTACTTTACAAACATCCGACTATAATATATATACACACATGTATGTATATCAGTTGCGAATAGGATCATAACGGTTGGGGATACGAATCGAGCAAAGATGTTCATCCAATGGCTTGATAAAGATACTCCGGTATTTTACTTGGAATCTCAGAGAGGTTTTACTACCGTAACCGGAAAATATCATGGTGTTCCCATATCAATCGTGGGAATCGGGATGGTGAGTGTTCCAAACCCTATATCACGTGTTTCGTAACCTTTACTGACTCGTAATCATTGATTTAGGGTCTCTCCATGATGGATTTTTTCATCAGGGAAGTGAGATCAACCGTGGATGGACAATTGGCCATCATAAGATTTGGATCATGTGGCACAATAGGGGCGCCTAAGGTTGGAAACATGATTATTCCAAGCGGTGCATTCGCGATTACGAGAAATTATAATTATTTTTCTAATGGTGAGGATGAAACGAGTTCGAATGGGGAAAAGCCATACAATTTCACAAAAGCTTTTTACGCGGATCCAATGTTATGCAAACAGATTGAAAAGCAATTGTTGAATTCTTTTGACGAGAAAGAGATTTTTACCGGACTGAACGCAACTTGTGACTCGTTTTATTCATCACAGGGGCGTCAAGACGAAAATTTTCGTGATTGTAATTCTGACATTTTTAAAACGATAACCGCAACTTATCCAAACACTGTTTCATTGGAAATGGAGTCATTTATGTTATATCATTTGGCAAGTTCAAGCACATCGGCACCATTAAAGCATTCAAATAGGGTGTCTGATAAAGGTAATAGCATTAAAGCGGCGGCTACTATGATGGTATTTGTTGATAGATTTAAAAATGAAATCATTAGTCCTGAAAAAGTTCAAGAAGTGGAAGTTATTGCTGGTAAGGCTGTGTTAGATGCCTTGGTTGAAACAGAGTTAAGTGAGGTTCATCCTGAAAGCGAAGAATGCGTTTGGAATACGAATACGTCATTATCAAGTATTTAATACCTTCACTTTGCGTCGGGAATAATGAATTTTTTTTCATCAAGTGTTATAATTTATATGATTCTTTTACTTCGCTTAATATTATTATATGTAAGATTACAAATAAATTAATGTACAATCAACCGCTTAATAAATAATACAAATATTGTACAATAAAAGATAACATTATTTCATTGATTAAATATTTTTTAACACGGATAAGGGAAGGGGGTTAAAACGACATGACGCAAAAAAACTAATAGTTCGTAAAGGAAATAACAAAGATTGATTATAGCGGTTGAGATATCACTGAGGATATACGTATTCACCCTTTTGGTATGGATAGTGATGCAATTTAACATTAAACCGCCAAATTAGGAAACAAAAGTAGCACTGCAAGAAAAAAAATAAAAGTGATTTAGATACTTTTTTTTTTTTTTTAAAAAAAGGAAAAAAGATTCTGAAACTTACCATTAATATAAAATCAATTACAAAAGCGAAAGCAAAAGTAGTACCCACGGATTCAACACCAACTCTACAAAATCCATTTGGTAATCTTGGATTATCTTTTAAGGCAGGAGGAGGTTTAAAATCTGGATCATTATTATGTGCGTCCGCCCATTTCACTCCTCCATTATTACATTCCCATTCAATCCTATCTTTAAAATGGTTTAATTCCCATGTCATTACACCTGCTCTAACCGCTCCTAATAATATTATTAAAGGATATATAAAGAGGAGAAATCTAGAAATAACGTATGATCGCGACGAAAACCCAATTAATGCCATTCCTGCTAAGGCACCTTGTGCCATTGCGTAACCACCGTAAAGGGATGCTTCTGGATATATTGTAAAGTAAAAATCTCCATATAAAAATAAAAAAATGCCACCTCCGATTTGATATAACTAATAACACGTACGTTAGAGAATGTTTAATTGATTTAAGCATATTTGAGCATATGAAAGAAATTTCAGAGACTTACCGCCATTAGCAAAGAAAGAGCTATGGCTCCGGCTCGTAACGGAAATATTAATAAACAATTATCGCACCACATTATTGTAAATTTCTTTGTAACGTAAGAGGTTCGGTTAACTTACTTAAAACCAAACAAATAAAAAAAATTTCTGGTTTATGTTAACGTTATTATATTTACACTGGTGGTTAGGCAAAGAGAATCGTTCAATAAATAGACGTTAGGAATCTTATTTATTGAACCAAAAGGTCATTAATCAAGGGGACTATCATTAAATTTGAGAATCTGAAAAAAAAACTCTCAAAAAGGATTTTACATTTAAATTTTTTTCTCTCCCCGACTATTTTTATATCCGATTTACAAATTACTTTACTTGGTAAAAGCAAAAAGAAATCTCACCCTTTACCCCTATTATTTCTTTCCAAATTTGGAGTGCATATGGTCAAATATGACTTCATGTTTAAAATTATCCTGTGGTGTAATTAACTACGCGTATTTCGATGTAATGTTGTTTAAACCTTTAATTCGATATAGTGAAATGATCCTTGTACTTGAAAATCTGAATTTAAATGAATGTTATTTTATATAATATATTTTACATTACTTTTCGTATGATGGAATTTAAAAGCCACATGATAAAAAAGATTATGGGCGGAAAGGGTTTCTAGGAAAATCGGGTTCTGGGAATTTATTTGAAGTTACTAGATTAAAATGTAATAAAGTGAAAAATAATTTTCTCACCACTCCCTTTTTAATTAGGTACAGTCATCTATTTTACATTTCTTTATATAATTGTTTCTTATTAAGTTTTACAATTATTGTTGAGATGATTTCTTTTGGAAGGCAATTCGAGCGCAATACCAAATACAATATTTACAGTATATGGTCCTTTAAAGAATAGGATTTTAAAAAGATATTTGTGGCGTAGTAAATAAGAAATCCTCGGACATGTGACATTTGACTACCCTTAACCCTAATTCTAACCGTGACAATTAGATATGTGACAAATCAAGAATAAATAGTAAAAACAGGGGCGTGATAATATGTGACAAATATATTATTATATGAATTTATTAGAGAATTATGCTTCCAACCTGCTTTCAAAGGGTGCTTCCAATCTTCCAAGTGCAAAACACCTGTAATCGCGTGTCCGAGGATTTCTTGGAGATGGTCGGAACTATTTAAATCATATGATCATCATGTAATTTTTTCGTTGCAAATATTATGTTCTTTTTTTGCGGTATGTATAATAATAATTCCGAATCCAGATCAAAAAGTTGCAAAAATACATACTAAAGATCGGTACTTCACATAACGTAGACTTTTTTATTTTGAAATTTATCTTGAAATATACACTTTTAATCAACAAAAAAGAAAGAAAAAATGTAACATCTTTAATATGAATTTATAAATTTACATTCTAATTATATTGTCTGAAATTCATTATTAAACATGATCCGAATCATATTTCGCTTTAGCAACTTCAATTAATTCGGTAAATTCCCCACTTCTTTCACACATAGATCTAAATAATGAATCGGAATCTCGTATTAATGAATAAGGATGGTCGAATTCAACAACTCTTCCACCATCTGAGATAAAAACGAGTAACAATTAGTATTTTAGCCATCAGAAACAACATCTTTTATAAAATAAGTTGATACTTACCTAAAACCAAAATCTTATCATAGTCAACAACAGTTCTTAATCGATGAGCAATACATAATAAAGTAGAATCTTTAAATTCTGTTCGAATAGTTTCTTGAATCATTTTATCGGTTTTAAAATCTACACTAGCCGTCGCTTCATCCATAATGATTACCTTTGACCTACGTACTAGAGCCCTAGCCAATGCAATAAGTTGCCTTTGACCTTGCGAAAAATTACTTCCATTTTCATTTACAAGTGCATCAAGACTCCAATTAAATTGATTTTTTGGTTCATTTGTATTGTCTTCATCTTTATCTTCAATAATCTCTGGTGTTACCGTTCTAGAAGTCGATTGTGATGATGGTGATTTATCCTCGTCAATTAAATGCGCTCTCCTAATCGCATTCCATAAATCAACATCATTGTGCTCACCGAAAGGATCAAGATTACTCCTACATGATTAAGCGATTTATAAATATCTATATTAAAATTAAAATAACATAAATAACATATATTCCTACCTTAAGGTACCACTAAATAATACTGGATCTTGAGGAATTATAGTCAATCTACTTCTTAGATCAAAAAGACCAATCGTTGAAATATCAACCCCGTCAATGACAATTTGTCCAGATGTAGGTTCCATAAATCTAAAAAATGATACGGCCAATGTTGATTTGCCAGATCCTAAATATTTATTATAATGGTTAGATAAATTCTAAATAATTAACAAAGAATTTATTGAAATTAAAAAAGGGATTATTCCATACCTGTCCTTCCAACTATTCCAACTTTCTCTGATGGTTTAATCTGAAATGACACATCTTTCAACACTGGTGGATTGTCTGGTGCGTATTGCATTATAAGATTATTCACTTTGATTTCCCCTCGGAAAGGCCATTCAGGAGGTGGACGAAAACCCTCGATTATTCTCGCAGGTTCTTCCATCAAATTCATATATTCATAGACTCTTTCAACTAAAAAATAAAATGAATAATAATTAATCATCATTTAAAATAAATAAATAAAATATATTATTATGCTCACCAGAATTCATATTCATCTCTTGCATAGCGTACATTCTCAGTACCCAGATTATGTGGCCGGTAAAATTTAATGCATAAGCAAGCGCAAAACCCGCTAGTCCTGGATCCATCCCTTTAGATATTTGATATATAATAATGATTCCAGTAGCAAAACTAACTAATCCTCCCGCCAAATCCACGCGTGTGTGAAGCCATCGATTACATGCCCAATTATATATGAATGGCCGATTATTTCCATCCACAAGGGAAAGCATTTTTTTCATTAATTTATTCTCTGCGCCAAACGCTCTTATGGTTGAGACACCAACGATCGTCTAAAAATCATAAAAGAAACATTAAATAAGATCATCAAGATTTAAACGTATCATAAAATGAATGCGAATGTTACAAACCTCTCCAAATGATGCATATATAGGGGATCGTGTAACTGACTCAATACCTAAAATTATATAATATGAGTTTAATTTGACTTTCCTACTAACTTAATCAGAATAACTTACATTGCCGACTTACGTTTAAGGTCTCTTGACGTTGCAAGATAATATGCTCCAATAAATACATACAAGGCAGTAATGAAAATACCGGCTATCAAGAATTGAGGCATCACTGTAGAAATAGCAAATATGACTGAAGCAGTTGCTACACAAGAGTAAATGAGGAACAGTGCCACAGGTGACAAAGTTTGATCAATTACTTCCATATCTTTGGAAAATCGATTTAATATGCGTCCTTTTGTTACAATAAATACAGAGATGTTTAATTATAAACATTATATAATTAATAACACGGTAGCTAAAGGAATGAGCGAATAAATACCAATGGGTGTTGTATCAAAAAATCTTAATTTTGCTTTCAACACCTTATCCAAAATTGCAGAATGTAATTTTCTTGAAGCAACCAATGAGCCCATAAACATCCAATAAGTTCTTAATGATCCTAATAACGTTGTTAACAATCCTATAAGAATATATATACCAAGATAATAATCTACATTAACTTCATTTTTTCTTTGTTCTAAATTTATAGTTGGTGGTGAGAATGCATTATCAGTTGAAGACGGAGAAATATTTGATGATGGGTAAATGGACAAAATATTATAAATATTTTGACTAGTGAATGTAAAAGACCAAGAGGTAATTATGGATGATAATGCAGACGCAACATTATAAATTTGATCGTGAATAACACTATAAGCATTAGTCCATTCTCTAATCCACCAATCTGTTAAAATAAATAAATAAATAAGTATAAATACTTTGTTTCGAAAATATATAAATATAAATAGCTATTAATAAAAATAATTACCCTGTCCAACTTGCAAGGCTTGTGTAGCAACAAACATAAATATCAAAAATGACCAAAATAAGAATCCACCTGAGGATTTAAAATAAATCTTGTATATCTTCCAATCGACAACACCCTCGGCCTTTTCTTCTTCAGTCATTAATTTACCATCACCTTCTCCGATTGTTTTCTGGGGTTTTGAAGACTTTAACTCTACGGATATATCTGTATTTTTTTGTTCCTCCCTTTCTTCCAAAGAAATTTCTTCCAATATTCCTTTAGATAATACTTCACTCGGAGTCCCTTGACCAATTATGCGACCATTTTTCATCACAACAACTTTGGAGGAACCACGAAGACAAAGTCCTACGTGGTGTGTGACTAAAATACGCGTTCGACCTTCCATAATATCTCCCAATAAACACTTTTCATATATATGTTTTGCCGTATGAGAATCAACGGCTATATCATATAATAAAACTTAGAATATGACCTTTTTAAATGAAAGTATTTGTTAAATGTAAATACCTGATAAACAATCATCCATGATGATAATTTTTGCTTGAGAATAAACAGCTCTAGCTAATGCAATGCGCTGTTTCTGACCACCAGAGAGAGTAATTCCTTTCTCTCCTATTTCAGTTTTATCTCCAAATTCAAATATCTCCAAATCCTTATTTAGCGCACACGTATTCAATACTTTATTATAACGATCCTCGTCGAAAGGAAGACCAAATAGAATGTTGTCCTTAATTGTAGCATTTTGAAGCCATGCTAGAATGCACAAATATTAAATAATTTTCTTATTTAAGGAAAAATTTAAAGACTTATTTGATTACCTGTTTGTGCCACATAAGCTATTCCACTAGGGGCACCTCCCATATCCTTGGATGAAACTTCTCTGGGCAAAAATACTTGACCACTTATGCATTCCAGTTCCCCTAGTAAAGCCATCAATAAACTTGTTTTTCCACTTCCAGTAGGTCCGCAAATTATCGAAAGCTCACCAACGGGAAATTCGATATTCATATCCAACAAGGTAAATTTATTAACGGAATTTTGGTTGCTATTAACACTAGAGTCATTGGTTGTTGAAGCAGTACCGTCGAACCATTGAAATGATGCACTTTTAAATCCGATTTTAGGATCATTACTATTTGGTTGACTATTCATACGCTTAAGTTCGGGTTCAATAAGGAAATTTTCAACACGTTCTATGGAAACGCGAGCTAAATATATAGAATAGAAATGTGTCATTTACACAAATGAATTAAATGAACTATAAATTGTATAGAGATTCAAAAAAAAAAAATACCTTGAATAATGGCAACAATCGTTGAAGGTCCTTCGTCAAGAGCATGACGAAGGTTGTTAAAGAGGGCAAGAGCTGTAAACGCTACAGTTGCCGTTAATTCATTACCAAACAATTTTGTATAAGTCCAAAAAACTGAAAGCATAATAAAGAGTGGCAGACACATCCAAACATTTCCCATATAAACCCATTGCATCAAACGTGATTTAACTTCTTTGAGTTCATTTTCACGCGCATCAATAACTTTTTTGTAGAATTGATCTTCCCAAGCAAAAAATTTGATTATTCTAATTGCTTGAAGTAACTATAAGAAAAAAAAATAAGTATATATGATCAAACTTTTAAATAACTCGGAAATAAATTTTTAAATGGTGCAAACCTCATTCATCAAACCCATGCGTTTGTCTGTTGCCTTCATCAGACGCTTATGAATAATTTCGAAACGTTGATTTATTAAGGCAGGGAGTGGATAAGTAATAATAATGGTCAATACACCCATAAGGGCGCTGACTCCAAGTAGTAAATATAATAATAATATAGATATTATAATCTGCAAAGGAAAACAATAAACTAAATAATAATAAGGGTTAATATTAGAAAAAAAATCATTAAAAATAGCAATGGTTATTATATTAATCATTTAAAGCAACTCACTGTAAAATAGATAAGCTATAACTTCTGATACTTTAGTCGCATCAACGGACATTAAATTGGTAATTTTTCCAGTTTTATCCTTCGTTTCTTCATCATCTATTACCCCGGTTGTATCTTTCCTGGAGAGAGATTTTGAATAAATTTCACCAATTATTATTGCCTAAGAATTATAAACAAATAAATATTAAAATTTTTAACATCAAAATTTTTAATTGAGAATTAATGCCCTACCTGAGTTTTAATTCCTAATTGCCGACCAATAAACAATGCTTGTTGAAAACATAAACTTGGTACGACAGAGCCAAGAAATAATCCTATAACATAAAGATAAGCCGTAACTTGGGTTTCATCTCCATTATTAGGGTAATTTTGTACAAAGAGCAAGATTTTACGTAGAAAATATGGAGGTGCAAATGTGGTAAGAACCGACCAACTAATGGAATAAAAGAATTGAACACAAAGCTCTTTTCTGAAGGTGTATAACATAGATCTAAGGAAAGATTGTTTTCTATGAAGACGAAAATCTTTTAAAACATTTGATGCTCGAACAAAGTTGGGCATTTCATAAACATCCTTTTCATTTAGGGTTTTTCGAAATCCTTTTGTTAATAAAGGATTTATCCATGAAAACATAAATTGGTCATATAAAGAGCATTTTACTTCAGGCGATAAATATCGACCCTTATCAAGAATAAAAAGCAGTCAGAAATAAAATATTAAGCAAAGCTTTATTTTGTATAAAAACTCAAATCAAATCAAATAGTAAGTTTGGCACTCCCAAAAATCCAATACCTCTGAATTAGGCTTTAATAACAATCCTTCAGGATCATCTTCCGGTTCCATTATAGAAATCATAACCAATATAAAAGAAATGATTAGTGTCCAAAGTCCAAAAGAATAATCGACATTGATTTTTGTACCATATTGCAAATAAAATGAATGAATATTGATTATTGACGATACGAAAGTGATAAAATAAAGGATGTCTAGATGTTTGCGTAAATAAAATTGATTACGATACTGAGATTTGAGATTTATATAGGCTAGCAAAGATGCATACGACTAAAAGTAAATAATTTAATTTAATATTATTTAAAATTAAATAAATTCATTTAAATTCAGAATATAAATTGCTCACCCAAATCAATCCTTCAATAATTGGAGAAGTTATCAAATAAAGCCCTTGTTTATTTTCATCATATTCACGCCATCGGAAAATCACAAAGAAACAAAATAACGTAAACATAGACATTCCAAATAATAATCGGCACCAGTCGAACATTTTATTTTTTGGAAATTCATTTGTTAAAAGTGTTGATTCCGAATCGGCATCATTTATAATACTTGTCTCTTCTGAATCAACCGATCCAATCGAACCATAAGATGAATTGGTTTGCCCAGAAATCAAAGGCTCGTAAATCGGACTTTTTTGACGCTTATATTTAACATAAGCTAGTATAAGAATACATTTAGACCCGATAGTGTACAATAACGGTATTCCCGCATCAATAACTCTAATATAAAAAAAGTTAATAATAATATTATAATATCACGTATTTTCTTATAAAAAAAAAAAAAGACTCACGCTTCTCGGAAGCAGTTTGTAAAATCGTAATTTTTCCATGGTCCCTGTATAATAGCACATTGTAGAACAAAATTATAAGATATCTGTTAATTTATCGCTGATTTTCTTCGTAAAACAACAAAAAAAGAAAAACTTCCTGAATTAAAAAAAAAATTATGAGTATCATGTACGACTCACCCATGAGTCCAATCCACAAAATCCTTGATAATCATCGGATCGATTTAAATTTGTATCCATATTTGAGATTTTGTCAATAATCTGACAATATCCGGTCCGGTATATCAAGTATAATTTTTTGACTTTCTATCGATCTCGTAAATCTCGTAAATACCGTGTGTGAATTTGAAAAGCAAAAGGTTATTTATTTATATCTAAAATTTTGAGTCAAACTGTATTTGGCTATACTTTTCTTTATTAATACAGTCAAAGAAGCACGATCATCAATTATGCATTTGATTGTGTAAATAGGAAACTTTCATTGATCAGAGATAAGACAACGACTAATTCCGATATAGTAAAATTTGTAAGAAACGGAAACTTTTAACTTTTTAGAGATTACATGGCGTTATATATAAGTTTTTGTTTGATGGCGCAGTAAAAATGGTATCACAACCTTTGTACGAGATGAATAAGTTTACGAACAAATAAATATCTAAAAATAGAAATTTGTCATAAAAAATAGTCTATAAAAAGGTTAAATAGATCGTGTCATTCTTGAAACTTGATTTTTCAATTACAGGCTTTCCGCGTTGATATCTGTTGATATATATATATACTTATGAAATGTTTTTTTTTTGATTTTTATCTTAACTTTTTTTCCACATCATCTCATTATCCGTAGATCTTTACCTTTTTCTTGATTCATCAGTTATAAAAAATCAAAATAAAAAAAAAAATGTTTTGTAGTTTAGAACAATTTAAGCATATTTTCGAAACTTTATTATTTCAGACTGATGAAGATAGTGGTGTGGTTTTATTTGATTGTTCCGTAAGATTATATTGTTATGCTGATATTGATTCAATGTGTGCTGCTGAAATATTGAAAGTAAGAAAACTTTTCTGTATGTGTCATTGATTTGATCTAATCTTTTAATTTGTTTTACTTTTTTAAAGAAATTATTTTTCCAAGAACACGTCATTTGGACCTTAAAACCAATAAGAACTTACGATGACTTTGATAGACGGGATTTTAAACCAAGTCCAGATACGAAATCGGTAATTCTTTGTCTGATATTTCGGTTCCGAATTTGTACGATTAGTTTAGTTTTTATTCATGTCTTTCGTGACTTTTTGATATTGAAGAAATTTTCTCCATATTATCTAAATAATCATATTATCAACTTATGGATTGACTCAAATAAATGAATAAATAATTAGTTACGAGCTATAATTTTATTGAATTTTGGATCAAACTTGGAGCTTGCCAGAGAGTTTGATCTAACAGACAATCCGCACGTAAATATTTATGTGATCGATAGTCTCCACCCAGTCAATTTGACAAACCTTTATGATAGAAATTCTAATGTGAGTTCAAGCGGGAAATCATACAATATTTTTCGTAATTGAGTCTAACATATTAATATTTGTAAAATGTTTATAGATATTTATTGTGTATGACGAAGAGTCATCGGAATATCCGGAATATATAACGAAGGTAATTTGGCTTACTTATTGACCTGGCTCACAAAAAACTTAATATATTCTTGCCATGTTAACTCATTAGTTTATAGGCTTTAAAGAAGGAAAGTGAAGAAGAGTTTCAATATAATTCCGTTTTTACAGATGATTTCGGACGTCCAATAACATTGGATGAGGTATAGTGTAATGATTAAATTTTCATATGGGATGATACGAATTTCTTTCTTGCTGATTCATATTGTTATTTATGTAGGCAGACAATATCGAAAAAGAACCTAAAAGACGTTATGGAACTTCAATTGCGTTAATGACGTATATGCTTGCTTCAAAACTTCTGCTCAAGGATAATAACATGTTATGGTGATTTTTTTTTTTTTATGTTCCGTTACATTCTTATTCTACTACTTATTTATTATTTTATTTACGCTTTGCCCTTTTTTCTTAAAACAAGGCTAGCGATAATCGGTCACACGAGCTTATATATAACCAAGAGACTTCCTTTACTAGATTATAAAAATCATGTAGATACTTTAGATGCGGAAGTAAAAGAACTCAATGATTTATATATATCAAATCGTTTACATAGGCATAAAGCTGTGGCAAGCGAGGCAGACGATAAACGAATTATCCCTATTTATGAATATCCTTTATTATTTATTATCATTATTCATTTTTTTTTTTTTAAAAAAAAAAATCCTTGACCATTTAATATATTTACATATAATTGCGTATTAATGGGACATTGGACAGTATATGAAAGTATACTTAATTCAGAGTATACCATTACAAAAATGAAACTTAAGGAGAACCGGGGAGAAAATTTAGATAAGCTGTTAAGAAATATGGGGTAAGAAATTTGAGACTATTCCAACATGTTTTACCTTTTATTTAATTTATTTGATTTATATAGAATTTCGCAGAAAATGTCAAGGGAATATTTTCCCGCCATGGATGTTGAAGTTGCGAATCGCTTGGCTGAAATGATAAATTCCGAAGGACCAAAATATAAATTTGACATACCATTATATGATGGTTGGGCGAAATTCTATGGTTATAAACTTCCAACGTTCTCGGCAAGCGATGCTGTCTATGGGTTAATAACCTTACTGAAAACTAAACCATCTGCTTCAGTTGAATTTGGGGTTGAAATTCAGTGGGTAAATGATTTTAAAGGCAAATTCGAGTGGCTAAATAATTTTCACACTGCTCTTGATGCCTTAGACAGGTAAAACCTTGTTTAATGAGAAATTGTATATTCCTTGACAATCATATTAATAAAATTATTTTCACATTTTAGTAAAAGCGGATGGATACTGTTAAAGGCATCGATTGATCTAAGGAAAAAATTACAACCGCTTATTATAAACGGTGGAGCAAGAGATTATTGCTTATTTTTTTAATTTTGGATTATCAATGTGGAACAATAGAAACTTTTTTAAGACGGTTTGTGACAAACAAAAAACTGATTCATATACTTATTGTAGATTTAGTTTATTATGTCAATTATATTCATCAAGAATTGTACATTGTAAATTTCTTCATATCAAAACCGATTTCAATAAATTTGATATCGTGTATCATAAAAATTTTCAAATTTCACGATTCATGTCGTAATACGTATAATGATTTATCAGCTTTCAAATACTTAACAGATAATATCCATTCACAATGCCTTTACATCCAGTATTTATTTCTGTTTTCAATTAATCCCGTTCTCCTATAAGAATAATCGTTGATAAATAGATTTTTGTGACCTGCTATATGTTACAATTCCAAAGTATGAATAAAACATAACAATAGAAACAAATCTTATATATTAAGCTTATAATAAGTTCTTTAAAACTTATAAATTGTTATTACCTTTAGTATAAATTTTATATTAATGAATTAGGTCATATTTTAAAATAAATTATTAAAAAATTAATAAATTTTATGATGTTTTCTAAGTAAAAATTTAAAAAAAAAAAATTGTAATTAACTAGTGAGTTTTTAAAGATAAATAAATAAATTATTATAAAAAAATTAAAAATTTAAACTCATATATCTTGCTATATATCAATCTCAGAAATATAAAAAATACTACCATTTAATAGATCTTAATGTAATGAATCCAATAAACTAAATTTATATTTTTGTAATTAAATAATAAATTATTTTAAAATTAAAAAATTAAAAAATTAATATATATTAATAATTATGAATTTAAAAGTTTAAAAATACTACTATTAGATATATCATAATATGATAAATCTAAAATTTTATTTTATTTTTTTATAATCATTAAATATCAAAATATTTTAAGTTTTTAAAATGTTTTGAAAACAAAATTTATATTTACAGTTTAAGGGATATACTTTTTATTAATATATATAAATTAAATTTTAAATACTGATTAAATCTTACAAATATTAGTAAAATTTATTTATTCTTTATAATATATAATTTGCATAATATAAATTAGAATAATAACTATATATATATTTTTTTAAATTTAAAATCAAAATATTTAATATTTAATATTACTTATAAAATATAATATAATATTCAAATTATTATTAAAAATTTTATAAGCTTTAATTTAATTAAAAACAATTTTTGATTAAATAAATAATTAATATATTAATATTAATAAAAAGGATTTATTTAAATTTAAATAAATTTTATATAATTAAAATAATTAATTATATTTTATTATTTTAAAAATTGTTATTAAATCTGAAATATAAATAATAATTTTTATTTAATTATGTAATTTTATATTAGCATATTTGTTAAATAATTATAAAAAAATAAATAATTTAATATTAGGTTAATTATATCATAAAATTATGTAATTTATAATATACTATATATTAAATTTAATGATAAAAATCAATAAATTTTAATTTATAATATTAAAAAAGCTATTTTAATTTTAATAAAGAAATTTTTATATTAAATAATAATATTTTTTTTAATTAATATTCTTTTAAGTATATTGCAAACAAATTTGCCTATAATTTTATTTAATAATTAAAATTATTTTTAAAATAATTTATTTAAAAATTAATTTTTTTATAATAAATTTTATAATATTTTCTAAATAAAACTTCAAAAAAAAAGTAATTAATTGGTGATATTTTAAAGATAAATATATAATAAATTATTACAAAAAAAAAATTAATTTTTAAACTTATATTTTATTATCTATTAATTTCAAAAATATAAAATAATTTAATAAAATGAATCCAATAAATTAAATTTTATTTTTATAATTATTAGATAATAAATTATTTTAAAAAATTAAAAAATTAATATTTATTAATAATTACTAATTTTAAAAATTTATAAATACCATATGCCACTATATATAGTATCTTCTAAAAATAATACTCTTGTGATTAATATCTAGATACTAAAGATAACACTATAACTAGTTGTAACTATATGATACTTATTTGTCATAAGATTACAACTAGTTATAATATTAATAAAATTAAGTTGCAACTAGTTGCAACTCTGTGATAAATAAACATCACATAATTGTAACTAATTATAGTACTATCTTTACTAGATACTATTCACTATCTATGTTAACCTAATTACAAATAGTATCCAAATACTTTTTAAAACTAAACTTTGTAAAAATTGATTAATACCTAAATATAATTATAATGCATTCTTAAAATTTATAAAGGTTGATTTTTATAGAATTTATAAAATAGTTCATTTTCATAATTTATTATAATGTTAATTAATTTTCTTATAATAAATGCTTAATCAGTCTAAATGTCAAATTTGATATAGTAAATGATTACTAATTTCATACACAAATATAATTTTACTATGATATAATTTTTCCAGAAATATTTTCACGTTATTTTATAAATTCTAGTTATTTTATTTTAATATACAAACTGTCGACAGTTTTATTAATTTACTTAAATTTTTTTTTTAAAAAAAATTTAATTTATCATTTTTTTAAAATAAAATAAAATAAAATAAAAAAAATAAAAATGAAATAAAAAGAAAATGAAACAAGACAAAAAAATAAATTAAGAAAACTAAATGAGATAAAAAAACAAAATTAAGAAACTGAAATGAATCTGTAAATAAAATTAAGTAAACAAAACAAGACAAAAAATTAAATTAAATAAATAAAAAGAAACTATAAAATAAAATTAAAAAAATAAAACGAAATGAAAAATAAAATTAGAAAAATAAAACAAAACAAAGAATTAAAACAAAATGAAAAAATAAAATTAGAAAAATAAAACAAAATAGAAAAATGAAATTAAATATATGATATAAAAGAAAAAATTAAATTAAACAAATAATACAAAAAAAATGAAATTTTTATTACCTTGCAGACCTTGTAAACATATCACGATTTTATCATCTATTTCAGTTTTACCTCACAGATATATACAGTTTTGCCTTATATTTCATATTTACCTCATAGTAGGTAAATTACAATTTCTCCTTCAAATGTGTCTCAATTCTAAAAAAGTAAATATATTTAATATAAATCTAAAAAATCATTTAAACATTTTTAATTATTACCTAGCCTA